TATTGGATAGGAGGTAATGGGCTATCCCACGCTTCTTTCTCTTTGAACTCAGACGTTATTGGAGTGTGAATGGAGGAAAGGAATATTTAAAGCATTTGATAGTCTTTATTACATTTTTTCACAAATATTTTAGCATAGAAAAAAATTTATGCTATCGAAATGTAGATATCTTCTTTTTTCCGGTATTACTTCTTATTTCGTTGCATGTTGTTCATAACTCACAAATTTAATGAACGCATAACGATTTAATGAACGTAAATTATTGCTGTAAAGAAAATTGCGGATGATTTTACGCGAGCAAGATATGAAAAATTTATAAGAAGAAGAAAAAAACATTAGTTCCATCTTAATTTGTTTTTTAATCATTCAGTGCGTTAAAAAGCCACCCGGATAATTTCTTTTTAGCATCAATATTTTCTGCAAGAATTAGTTTTTAATAGGTATTTTGAAGTTGAACTGTATCTTTTTCCAGAATTTCAATGTCATGAGTGTTAATTTAGGATGATTTAGAAATTATTTCACAAATTTGTGTATTGAAAACTATGATCGAAAACTAATATGAGAGGAGGGGAGGTAACAAAATTTTTTNTCAGTGCGTTAAAAAGCCATCCGGATAATTTTTTTTAGCATCAATATTTTCTGCAAGAATTAGTTTTTAATAGGCATTTTGAAGTTGTCTTTTCCAGAATTTCTGGAAGAATTTTTTCAGAATTTCTGCATCTTTTTCCAGAATTTCAATGTTATGAGTGTTAATTTAGGATGATTTAGAAATTATTTCACAAATTTGTGTATTGAAAACTATGATCGAAAACTAATATGTAATCGGGGAGGTAACAAAAATATTTCAATCACAACAGTCTTTCTCTAAAATGATACCATCCATTTTGTAGTTGATCAGTAATTTTCTCAGAAAATAGCAAACGAGCTATCAAGTTTTGGGCGTGATAAAGACTGATTTTTGGCACTACAAGGGACAATTATATCCTAGTTTCAAATCCTACATTGTTTCACTCATCCTACAAATTCTACATTTTCGACAATTCAAATCCTACATTGTAGACCTGAATATTTTCTACAAAATCGTTTCTTCCATATAGTGCGACATGCTTCTTAGTTGACCTATAGTTTGACAGCTAAGTCAGCAAATAGATAACGAAATCCCCTTTTTATGATGAAAATGTTACCGAATTTTAATGTTAGGTGGGCGATTGAGAAATTAATATGTACGAAACTTACATATTTTGCACAAATTAATGTGTACGAAACTTACATATTTTGCACATCCATTTTTTGTATAAGAGTATTTGTTCAAAATGGTACGGATATTAAGAATATGAGATGGAACTTAGTCTTAAAACGGCAGTTGCATTTATCTTCTTTTGATTAGTATCGAGCATAATATTCCTTAGATTCAATATTATTAGTAACCTTCATGCTTACCTTTTGATATTTTTTCGATGCTTGGTATCGAAACTACGTCATTACACATTAATTGCTGGCCAGTTCCTTCCAAAATCCACATGTTGGTTGAGAAAAGACAAACTAAATTTGTTTTCAAATTTATGTTAAAATCCGGTTTTTTATTGCAAGCATGCATACTAATATAGTACACATTTTTTTGATAAATTATTGCATTATAAATAGTGCAATTATTATTTTCTTAACGACATTTGATGTTTCATTATTAATTTATTTTATTATTATCGAATTTGGATTACTTAATAAAAAGGGAAAAAAAGGAATTATGAGACAATGCATGGCCATCTTTTTAATAAAAATATTAATAAATGCATATACATATATTTCGCTCTCCGGATGACCCTTGACGGGGGCGGGACGGGGGTAAGCTTTGATACATATATTTCGCAGGTATTGTAATATTCAAAAATAAGACAGAAAATGTGTTAGATACTAGTTATTTTATGATCAATGCAGATAATAGTTATTTTAACATAAGTAATTATTATTATCTTGTTATTTTTTATTACGGGGAAACTTGAGGAAAAAACTTATCCTCGAAAAAATAATATGCTTTACTTCGTGAGGAATAAAATTGCACGAAATTATGACCAATCATCGAATTTGAAATTCAGAAATAAAAGGAAAACTGGACTAAAAAATAAATAGACGTTTTTTATTGCACAATATTTTCACATCAAATAATTAAAAATAAATTTACAATATTTACAAGGAAAATAGCAAATAATTTGTATCTCTGACTTACATAAATTTAAATAAAATCATAAAAATTAAAATATTCATATTTGTGACTGTAAAGTAAATCCTTTTATGGAGGAACAAAACGAGTGGTTTTAATTTAAATTTTATTAAAATCTCTCACCACAAAAAAAAAAATTATGGTATTTACTAGTCGCTATTTTATTATTTTATTGTGTAGAACATTTTTTCATAAAATTTAGCAAAAATATGTTTAATATACTGCAGAGCAAAAGAAAAATCAAGACAAAAAAATTCAAAATTAAGATTTATACATGTTTGGCATCCTTGTATGATAAACTACAAGTTCTTCAAAAAGTATTTTTTTCAAAAATAAATTTTGCTTTATCAGTTTTTTGAATTTCTATTTTAGCGTTCGTTGCGTTAGCAATAGAAAGAAAAGAAAGTTGCCAAGCTACTTTTCTCGGAATCTATCAACACGTTGTTTTTTCAATTGCAAGGCAGAATAGTGTAATATCGATCCCGTGTAATCATTATTTTGTATAAGGAAAATTGAAACAGCATATACTCATTTTTAATAAAAGGCTAGTCAGAAAAATGATGTGGAGGAAGAAATGTGTGAGAAAGATGTTCGTTGACTGTCGGCATGGTTTGAACCAAGAATCGTAATAGGATTTATCAAGGTTCGTAATAGGATAGTGTAACCATCATAGCTGGGCACCCTAGTCCAGGGCGAGTAAAGAAGCTTTATAAAATGGCCACCGCAATTGACACATCATGACATACATTCAAAAAAGCTTAGAAGTTAAGATGTAACGAAATGAAAAAAAAGTGAAACTAAAATTATCGATATCCTGACAAAGCTATTGGTATCACATTTTTCAAATTGTAACTTTTTGCACCATTGAAATCAGAAATTAGTATCTCCTTATGTGTCATTGCGACAACCACTATATAAAGCTTTCTAACTCTCACTAGACTAGGGTGTATAACTATGGTGGTTAGAACATCCTGCTGAGGTCTCGAAGGTTCTTGGTTCGAAACCCACACGAACATTTTTATCATAGATTTCTTTTTATACTTCATTTGACTGACTGATTGAGACTGCATTTTACTCAAAAATGAGTATAAGCATTTTCAATTTTCATGTCATTACACTCAATAGTGAATACATAGGGTTCTCAAATTCAACTATATTTCTGAGCTTGTTTAGCACATATTTGCTCAATTGTGAGAGAACATTTTTTACAGAGCTAAGTGAGCAAATTAAAAAACAGATCACTCTAAATAACTTTTGATCTAATGATAGGATCTTCACGTTCTAGGACCCAATCTTAATGATTCGAAGGGGTGATCTCAAATATGCTAATTAATTTGTGAAGAGGATATTTTAAGTTACGAAATCAGATACAAAAACGTGCTTTCTCAGAATTGACATTTTTTAGACGGATTCGGATTTCTGAGCCTTTAAATATGGGCGGTACCTACCCTTTGGTCCCAATAATTTGATCAGGAGAGCGGTCTGAAGTTTGGAACCCTTAATGTTAATTTTATTTTTTGCGTATTTCGTCATATCTCGAAAACTTTTTTATCGAATTGAAACATTTTTGCCGATAATTTTAAAATTCGTTTATCCAAAGATAATTCCATGCAAAAAATAACTTTTATTGAATATTTATTATTTTTTTCAAGAATGGTCGAAAAAATTTTGAATTATAATGTATAAAATTTTTGCAACATTCTAAAGAATGTAATTTTATATATCAAAATACAAGTTTTGAGTAAAATCGGTAGAATAGTTCCTGAGAAATTTAATTTCAAAAAAGTCAGATACTTAAAATTCAGAGAAAGTACGTTTCTGTGTCTGATTTTGTAACTTAAACTATCGTCTGACCTTATTTTTTTTAGCAAATTTGAGGTTACTCCTTCACGTCATTAAGAATGAGTATGAAATGAAAATTCGATGATTATATCAAAAGATATTCAGAGTGGTCCGTTATTTTATTTTGTTATTATTTTTTTAGAACTGTACATGTATGCTAGTTATATTATATTATATCTAAACGTTGAGCTAGTTTTTACGTAAATATTAAAATAATTCATTAGCGATAAATATTTTTTCTGTTATACGTAAATGTACAATTGTTAGTGGTTGCAATGGTGACATTTTTCGTTAAGCAACAAGTTAATATTGCTGATAGATTTTGATATTTTAAAAACTCCTCAATCTGCGGGAAACTTAATTCGAAAAAATAAACTTTAATACTACTTTTTTTTTCTTAAATTATAAAATATAGTTGTCTAAATTAACAGAAAGCACCTTTACAATCACAAACTTTTACTCAAACGAAAAATGAATAAAAAATACATTTATTTAAATAATGAAAAAAATTGCTAATAAAATTATGAAATAATTAATAAATAATATTTAAGTAATTAAAATATGCATAGCAGCTTCTTTATCAATTAATAAACCAGGCTTTGGCATAGCAAACAATCAAATATCGTCTTTATGTGTTATGTGCAAACATGAGTATAGAAGAAAAGTCCAATGAATTGAGACAATAACTAATAAATAACGATGAAAAAATATTTATAATATTATCAATGAATTGAAACAATAACTAATAAATAACGATGAAAAAATATTTATAATATTATCAATAATTCGCTGAGTACTATACATTTGTCTCTTTTTAATAGAAACTAAAAGCTGTTACAAATTTAAAAAGAAAACATTAATTATTTTTAGTAAGAACTTATTTTTCCATTACATTTACTTTGAAAAATTTGTAAAAAATAACTTTTAAGTTACAGTTTAAAAAAAAAAATTTCAATGATCCCCCTAAACAACAATTTTTTAAAATTTATAGATTATTTTAATGATGAAATTAACATTTCACGAATATCACATTATTAGATTCATAAATAATGAAATTTGAGCATTAGATCAAAAATTATTCAAGGTGATATTTAATTCATATAAATTCATATAATTGATCGTGAAAACATAAAAGGAAACACATAAACAAAACTTCAAATGCACACCTATATTTGCACAGAAACATGTAATTTGTGAAAAGTAATACTGTAATGAAACATTAATATTATCGATGATGAGAAATTAAATAAACAAATAAAACTATAAATTTTCATTATAAATTTTTAAGAAAATGAACGACTTATTGCTATGATTATTACGAATAAATATTTTCAAACCTCATCCTTTTAGAATATGTTGTACCTTTAAAAATGTATTAGTACATGTTAAAGGAAAGAAGAAGAAAAATTCTTGCGTTAAAATGTGAAAGGGACGCGTGATTTAAAGTTATCTTTGCTAAAATTAGTTTCTTTGAAGAAAAAAAATATTAACATTAAAGCTGTTTGGTTCTAACTTCATTTTAAGTAAGTTGCAGGTTTAAATAACAAGTTTTAAAATATTACCATTGGAAGTGCAATTTAGGTGCATAATATTCTGAAGTTTTTATCTAACTTGAAATTGATACTTCTGGGAACCTTTGATCTGTTTACTTTGATCTATTGCTGGGAAATCAAAATGAAGTAGGTGATCTGTCAAATTTTATTTAGTAACGTAACTAATTGCTCCCATCTATTAAAAAAAAATTAAGGAACACTTTATTCTACTCGTAACTATGGTTATTCTGAGTATTGCAACTGATGCCATTATTATAAAAGTAATAATAGGACAATTAAACAGAATAATAATATTGACATTCCGATAAAAACTTTTTTTAATTCAGTCTATTCACATATAAACATTTATTGTAATGTAAGGTTTTCTGCAAACATCATTTTAAATAAAAATCTAATAGCCTAGATTTTTAGGAATCCCAAAAAGAAAGCAATTATCAAAGATTATTGTATTCACTGCAAAAAGTCAAGATTAACATTAAAAGTATACAAGCTCTTAAAAATTTCCAAGCTTGTTTGACGTTGCAATACTGTTCCGTAAGTGTCAAATTAATTCTAGTCATATTATTGTAATTAATAAATGACATTCTTGCCTCTTTATTAAAAAAATATCTAATGAAGGCCACCTACTTTTCTTTTTTTTTTTCAGTTTAGACGGTTATTTCTTTTAAGTAGCTTTTTTTAACAGGTGTTTTCTTTCCTTTTTGTTGCTAGGTTAAAATACGACAACCCTCATTTATAGTCCTCTTAATTTTAAAAACAAAATTAAATAAATAAATAAATAATATCAATGAATTTTTTTTTCTTATCAAGTTACAATAATTTTACATAGCACTCGTGATAACTCTAATACTCCGTAAATCTCCCACTCAATCTCAGCATACCTGTAATTTAAAACGAGAACGTATAAACATATATTGAAACTATTAATGAACAATAAATTCATTGAACGATGATAAGATGACTTCATCTTACATTTTATTTCCAAGTGATAAGCAATACTGTTCGGTGCAAGTACTAACTGATAGATACCCGTTTCAGATCTTGCAGGTGACTAGTTTCATTTGTACTTGTATCAAATTTAAAGAATGATTTTCTACAAGTGCATGACGTCAATGTTACATTGTGGTTGACCATCAACTTCTATATTCCTATTTCGTAATTCATGATACACAGACATTTGTTCTTCATCACAAATCAAAGGATTGCCTGCATAAAAAAAATTATATTAGTAACAAATAAATAAAATCTGTTATGAATAAATGAATAACCTACTCACTAATTTAATTTTTTGGAATAAATTCATTTAGATATATGATGAATAAATTTATTTAATCATCGTTTCATAAATAAATTTACTTAATTATCATATTTTTCGGACAGCATTAATAAAATATAATTTATGGGAATTCAATACTAAATTTTAAAATTAAAGAAATTTGAATAAAACTCGTTATATTTTTTTTTAACTTGAACAATATTATTTTTAAGAATATAGTTGTTTGTAAAAATATTTTATTTTTACTTAGGAAGAATCCAATTTGCCACCCCGGAGAATTCGTAACGTTTTTGAAGTCCTGCTGATCTACTGTCATGGATAGCGGTGACCATTTTATTCTAGTTTAATTAAAAGTATTATAATGCATTTGATACAATATTTTCAAATAACTTTAGAATTGTATTGTAGAAAATTGCATTTACGATAAAATTTGGATTTACAATGGTTGGTGCAATGAAACAAACCAGCATCAAGAATTCTGAAAGTTAAGACGTAGTGCTAATTTTAGGGACAAATTTTTTTTTAAATCATAAAAATATTTTAGCTCTGTTAAACTCTTATTAATTAAATATTTTAAAACAATTTTTCCAATGTAAATTTATTTTAAGTCTAAGAATATTTAAAAATAAATGCTCTAAAACAAACTTAAATCACAAAATTATCTGACTAAATTGACTTTTTTCAAAATTTTAATTCCTCGTCGTTAAAAAATTAAAAATTTTCTTTCGTGAAAATATTAAACGTTAACAGCAAACGTGATTTCAATTATTTATTTTTAAATTGGATGGGATGGATATGCGTAATAATTCAAATGTTTAACAGTTTTGACCTTGATCTATATTTAGAATAAATTAAAAATCATCAAAGATCTTGACACTAGTTCGGCAGGCTGCCAAAAAGCGAATAAAAAAATAAAGATAAGAGCCAGAAAAATCTTTGACTCAATGAAAAGTTTCAAGCCTTCGAATTCTTCCATCTAATAAGATTTAAAATCCGATTGTAAATCATCATTTTTATCAGTTTGGGTTTCATTAACGTTTAAACTTTTAAAAAACTTATAACAGATTAATTTTTTAACTAGTCTAATAAGTTTCTGACGTCATTGTAATATTCCGAAAGATGCAGCAAGTTTCGAATAAAATTCTAGAAATGCTCCGACGACAACGAGAAGAAAAAAAACACTTAGAAATTTGTAAACTGCTTTGCTCTATTCATCTATTATATATATATATCTATATCTATATATATATTGAATAATTTTTTTGACTTGATTTTTGAGCGCATACTTACAATACTTTTGAACAAAATGTTGTTTTGTTCTCTAAGACGTATGCTTACTAGGGGAATTATGTGTTGGCAAAGTTAAATTATTATCCATAATAAAACGATAACATACGTATAACAATACCCGTATCTAAAACAATAACGATAAACAGTGCGAAACAGAAGTACAGTAAACAAAAAAAACAAAAAAAAGAGAAAAAGTATATTATTTATACACACTGTATATTATTTATTTTAATAATCAGATTTTCACGTAAAGTGCCATCTTAATGGTTTAAAGGTTGACCTCATATAAGCTAATTAATTAGAGCTAACTGTAAATTAAGTTATCGAATCAGGAGCAAAAATGGATTTCCTTTGAATTAACATACCTTTTTTTTCTCCCTAAATTTGGATTTTTGAATATAAAATATGGAATCTATAATCGCAATCTGGAAAATATGATCCCAATGGTTTAGTCAGGAGACTAGTCAGAAGTTTGGCCTCATTATTGTTTATGTCCCTTTTTGCTCATTTTAATATATTTTAGGAATTTTTTCAGCAAATTTAAAAATTTTTACACCCATCTATAAAATTTGCTTATTATAAAGATGATTTCTTGTGAATTTTTTTTTTAAATAATTTAATATTTTTTATTTTTTAAGAATGGACGAAAAATTTTTTAATTGCAAGGTATGAAAAGCTTTTATTATTTTTAATTAAATTATTTAAACCAAACCACCATTAAAACAAAAATTTAAACGAAATTAGTCATATTGTTCTTGAGTTCCAAAATTTCAAAAAAGCCGCATTTGAAATTTTCACTTCTCGAATACTGTTCGACTGATTTCTTTCAAATGTTGAATTTCATCGTTTTAGATTACATTGCAATAATTATAATTAATCTCAAATTTTTTATTGTTATCCTGACGAAACTATTGGCTCCTGATATTTTCCAGATCACCTCCACTATATCTGAGGTCAACCTTATCTACCAACCCTTTCAACAACTTAGTTCATGCAAAAATCAGATTGATATTTTTTTTTCTTTTTTATTGTTCACTGTACTTACAGCCCTCTACAAAAAATTTCTGTTTCGTTCAAGAAAACATTTAATTTTGGGAAGTTCATGTCCTCGTGACCAATATTGTAGCTTAGAGTAAAATGAGAATTTTCAGCTCTCTAAATCTCAGGAATCCAACAGATCAGTTTTGATAGAACTATTTTTTATTTGATATCACTAAAATCTTTTTATGATTAGTTTAATTATATCGATAACTTTTCTTAACAATTAAAAATGAATGCTGTTTTTTTATTTATTTTTTTAAATGTAAACAAAACTACACACGAATTTAGTTTACAATGTCTCAGAGAAAGTGGTCAATAATTTTCTGAGATATTTTGGGTCAAAATCCTTTTGCCTCCATAAACATTGAGAATTAGCTGCAATAAGAAAGATTATCCCCCTTGAAATTATTTCTCAGAGGCAGTATAAAGAAGGGTGGACGAGATCGATCACCCTTATCTCCAAGAGAATAAAGAAAAAGAAAAAATACTAAATTCTCATGTAAAATAAAATAAAATAAAATTATAAAAAAGAAAAAAAATTATTAATTTTCTTAATTTTCTACGCTTTTCTCTTTGTTTCCTTTTTGCATATTATATATATATATATATACATAATATATATATAGGGTGCGTAGCATTTTTGAAAAGTGCTTAAAGGTGCTTATTTTCGACTTTTGTTTTTTAAAAGCCCTTAAAGGTGCTTTTTTCATTGGATGTTTTTAAAAAGTGCTCAACTTTCCCTCTTCCAAAATGAGATTGTTTTCTTTAGCATATCAAATTTNTATGCATAATATTTTTCATATTAATTTAATTTAAATAGCAATATTTATATCCTTTTACGATACCTTCTCATTCATTTTAATGAAATAGAAAATTTTAAGAAATTTCCTTTCTCATGTTTTCTTTCTGTTATTAATTGAAAAATTGTAGTTAAATTTAAATATTCCGAACATATTTTCTTTTGCTTCGATATGCACAAGATTTTAGCACAAACGTTTTTACTTTTACTTACATTCGTATTATTTAGGGTAATATTGTATTTTCTATCAGTTAAAACTTTTTCAGATCATTTAAAATAGAATCTATTGATTTTCACCACTTTGTTCTAAAGTTGAACACAGCATAAAATAGAGTTCTTTTTAACACACCTCTTTCTCTAACACATATTTTTGCAGTTTTATCTTTTTATTCTAACCATAACGTAACAATAAGTCTCCTTGCCATTTTAGAAGACCTCATTACCTAAAACGATTCGGGATTTACGTAGCAGAAAGTGGTGTGCGTATGCCTCCAGGGCAATGTGTGTATACATGTAATTAATTTTACATTTTTGATAACAAAATAATTTTATGATTACTTTACAAAATAATTAAATAGTACGATATAGAAACTGAAGAACAATTTTTATTCTTATATTCTGAGCAACTTCCCCGGGGATTGGATTAATTGTATTGTTTTATGATACTATGGCTATTCTGTTCTAAACCCAAGAAAACTTTTTTTTACAAGAGTATGGAAATAGAATGAAAACGGCGTTCGAAGTTATATCTGTCACAAAAATAAAAAAAAACAGAAAAATAGTACAGTGAACGCAAGAAGGCGAAAAAAATCAGCTGGGCATTTCGGGTCATGGTTTCTGTTTTTATTTAAAGAAGATAAAACCACCCAGAGAGAATATCTACAATACGACCAAACAATTGAATTGTTAAATTATTGATAAAAAAAACTTTTATTTGATAAACTGGAGAAATTGTAATTGCTTTTACTAATTTAATGAGATTTTGTAAGAGCATTACATATTTTAGAAATCTAACTCATAACAAACAAATAATTTTATCTAATAATGGAGATAGTTATTGTTAAAATTATCTCTATACTTCTCACCTGATACAGAAATGTACTCCATGTTATTTGAAACTGTGTAATCCAGAGTTTTTAGTATCCGTAGTTGGTTAAAGCTTAAATCAATACTTTCTAGGCACACAAAATGTCTTAAAAACTCACCCAAACTAATTATTTTATTTCTGGCAAAAAACAGCCTTTCTGTTTGTAAAATATTTGAGCTATAACCAGAAATTAAGTATTCCAGTCTGTTGTCATTTAGGTCCAGCACTTTTAGCTTAGATAAAAGTCTGACGTCATCAAAAGTGAAATTTCGCATAAGATTCTGTGATAAATCTAGTGTTTCTAAGCTCAATAGTGGGTGAAAAGCTTCACTGATAAATACAATACTATTTCCAGCTAAATCTAAATGTTTGAGTTTTGAAAGTTTATTAAAATCAATCGCATTCAAATGAACCAATCGATTTTTTGAGAGGTTCAGACTTTTAAGATTCGATAAATGTTTTAAAGAGGTTCCTATTTCATGAAGTGAATTATACTGCAAATCAAGAAATTCTAAATTTCTCAACTGTCGTAAAGAAACTCCTAAATTGCGTATCATATTTCTAGCTAGATTCAAGTATTTCAAACTGTAAAGACCATCAAGCTCCCCTTCTACATCAATTAATCGATTGTCATCTATAGACAGTGACTCAAGTCTTGGCAAATTTCTAACAGACTTGTTCAAAGACCTCAAATAATTCTTTGAAAGCGTCAGGGAAACAAGAGTGGTGGGAAAAGAGTCTCTCTCCACAAACGTCAATCTATTTTCAGCCAGAGAAAGTAATTTCAATTTATTGGCACTTCTCAGATGATGATATGATATACTCGAGAGTCTATTTCTTGGCAATTGTAAGCTAACAAGCGATGATAGGTGACTCAGGGATTCCGAAGGAAAAGTCATAAGTTTTACGTTATGTAAGATCAATATCATGAGTGAATGTAAGCCGTTGAATGCATCGCTAGCTACCCACCTCAAATTCGAGTCTCTTATCTCAAGACGTGAAACGTTCACGGAAACAAAAGCTCTTGATGGTAGCCCAACAAACCGTGCATCCACAATTTGTAAGTACGGGATAGGATCATTTCTTAACCATCCCTTTAGAGCAGCACGAATGGTTTTCAAACTTCGAACACCACCGCATTGTACAGTAGGAATATCAGGAACAACCGTGCACTGACAAGGTCGTATTGCCCGCTTTGACGGGCAGGTGAAATTTACATATGAAGCTTGGGCTTCCACACTGAGTTGAACCATTTGTCCTTTCACCAGGATAATCGAGGCGAGAATGCAGCAGATCTGCAATTTCATTCTGTTATCACTCCCAAACCTCTTGACACAGCGTTAAAAAAATTTAATCGAAACCGTGTTAACCGCATTTTGAGTGCTAATGAACACAAATTGCTGAATGCATAGTGAAGTCCTAGCGCTAGAGGGCAAAGTGGAAATGATAAAAATGGTAATCACGCTTTTTTCCCCACAAGGAGAAGATGAGGAAGATTTGAGGATCGCAAGTGCTTGTTATGTCAGTTATGTCACTTACGTGACATAAGGCTTTTAATCATCTTGAAAAGCTCTTTGGAGAGTTTCCAACGAATACATTTAGATTTATTAGTGCCTGGATATAAATAAAAATTAAAGAGGACTTTTCTCTGTAATAAATTGAGAAAAAATTGTGAATGACTAACAAAGGGTGACCTAAATGAACTTCCCTTATCATGCTCTAAATCAAATATTCGTCAAAATAAACAGAAAAAAAAGCTCACCAAGGTCGATTATGGTTTCAAGAGATAAAAATTTATTTAAAGGAAGCCGGAAAAACTTCTTGCTCTTTAAAGTTTAAAGGTAGGATCAATTCTTTTAATAGCTATAAAAATTTTTGGTTGATTTCGAAATTTTTCAGCAATTGTTTATATTTATATTTAAGTAGTAAAATGTTACAAGATTTATTCTTTTACCAAAAAAGTCAAAATTCTTCTTGAATTTTATGATATATATATATATATATATATATAGTGGATGAAACGNATATATATATATATTTAAATACTAGCAGAAAAATTCAAAACATCTGTAAGGAAATATTTTCTGTTGAATGTTAAAACTATTCAACGCATTTCTTCTTAACTATTGTATTTAATTTTTGTTTTCAAAAAATTCAAAAAAATTTTTTTTGCGATTTAAATTGGCTAACTTTACACTACCTTAGATAATTTAATGAAAAACTTCACTTACCCATAAAAGAAATTTAGCAATAAATAGATAAAATTTCATAGATCTTACGCATAAACTTTAAGAAGTGATGAAATGGACAGATTGAGATAGGCAATTTTATGAGTGACTTTCAATCGTATTTTCAAAGATTAATTTTATTCAATTCTCAAGGCGGAAACAAGCTGATGTTCGAAAAATAGAAGTCGACTTGTCAGATCAGCAATGTGTGACTTTCAGTTCGATTTTATCTCGACCTCTGAATTTTTATTTTTATTTTTATTTCATTTGTTAGACTGCAAATACAGAATATATATCAGATTAGTTTTACAAATTACGCATTAAATTTGATCTTAAAATAATCTGAACTTAAGGGGATCAGCTGAACTCAGTTATTTGCCTTGAAATGATGCATGAATTCATTATTCTTTACAACGACATTTGCATTTCCTCATCAGTTTTTCTTTCTGCAGAACACTCGAGTAAATTTCTTTTAAAAATTAATATCTAAATTATAGTTTAAAAATTGTTCATACATTTTTTCGATATTAATAATTAAACAATAAAGAAAAGTAAAGTATTTCCGCCACAGCCCGCTGTGAGCCAGGCGGGTCGTGAAGATTAAGTCCCCGCAATTTCAAGAACAACGGCATGATTGTGGTAATGTGGCTAGCATTCCGTACAGGCTATCTTTACTTCCTAGATAAGCTGGTATGCATAGATTTGAAGCTGGGTGATAATCGAACCCAGGTCCAATATCAGTTCAGTGCCTTTAACCACTGAACCAGCACAGAAATGAATGAATGCTTAAAATAGTCGAATGTATATAAGTGGGACATTTATCGCAGAGTAAATGGACTTTAAATAAATTTTGATCCGATTTTTCGAGTACTTAGTAGTGGTTTAGTTAATATTTCGTGTGGGACTTCTTTATGCATGGTCGAAATTAAGAAAAGCAAGTTAAAGAGTTGAGAAGGAACTGCACCAAACATAAACTATGTTACGTAATCTGAATAAGCTGATCAAACAGTGCTATAAGCTAAGTCTGGCGGCAGGGGGGAGAGAGAATGAAAATGGTTGAGAGATTTTGCATAGAGTAACAGTTCCCGCTTACGCTATTCGCGATCGCAACACTCGAATACGCCATCTGGGGAGAGACCGGTTTCATGCTTTTAGCCCTTCTCCCTTCCCTCTCCTCCTCTTTTCAGTTATATAGGAATGTACTACGATATTTTCCCTTTTCTTAATATTTTTCCTTTTTACTTAATAAAAATATTTTCTAAAATTTCCACGATACTTTTCTTTAGAACTATGTTTAATGTAGTTTTCAGTTCCATATAGTTTTTCAAGTTAAAAGATTTTAATCTATATGAAAATCAAGAGAGAAACTAACGTACTTCCTTCCTCTATGACTTTCCACACGCTAATGGGG